TAATGATAATAGATTCTGACTCTCCATTACTACAACTTAACCTACAGACTTTCAACACAATGTGCACAATTTACGCTGTGACGATAACTTTCTTAGTCTTACCGCCATCGAAACAACTTTTGTGTCATGGCGCGACATGCAGCAACACTAATCACAAACAGTGCAGCTTGCTGTGTCATTTAGATATGGAAGATTCAATACCACGTCAAGGTGGCTGAAATCGGTCAGAATTCAAATTACTGAAATGCAATAGATGGTTGATGCAAGCAGTGATTTCCTATGTGTTTTTCATCCGTATAGTTCATGTATATGGAAAAATTATGTGGCATTAGCAAGTGAAAATTTGAAAGTGATATGTCAATTCATATCTTCTCCATGAATCTTGAATCGTACAGGCGCAGATCGATTTGCAAACCGGAGAAATGAACGAAACTGTGAAGCAATGTGGGAAACTCGAAATGAAGATATAAGAAGCATAGGAGAAATGCATTGTGCAAATCGGAGCTTCCGCTCATAGTTGATATGTCGTTTGAATACTGAATGAAATTTGACTGATAAACAATTCTGCTACAATGCAGTGGTGTGTTCGACGTTGTTGATGTATGTTCTACGAAACTGTCCTGCACAATAAACGAACAGTTACACAAGAAACAGTAGTTTATCGGCATTATTTTAACTACATGGATCAATCACTAGACAAGTTACTTCTTCATCGAATAACAAGCTACTTACTTCCCGCTTAGTAAGTCTTAAAGCAATTAACAGAATGATACCCAACACTGTGATTCCACCAGCGACGCCCAATAATATGATGCTCACTTTCGCACTCCGTTTCACAGTTTTGTATCCGATTATCAGAGTCATCACAGCTACAGTGATTGTTATTCCCCATGGCACAAAAATAAAAAATCCCATGGATTTGGTGACAACAGGCAATGCAATAGACCATAATAAGACCTAAAACATGCATAGGTTATATTGAGTTACGAAATCGTAAGTACGTTATCTTGACATATCAACTTTAAGAAATACGTGTAAAAATAGGTAAAGTGATATTGTGGTAGTCGTTATTAGTTTATCTATTATTCGGCTAGAAAGATGATGGAGTATGTTGTATTCTTACAGACTAATAAAAATGTGATCAGTGTTCATTTGGAAACTAGATGGATCTACCGGAAACTATGAGGGATTTTATGACAGAATCGGCGGTACACGAATTTTCTCGAATGACAACTGAAGCAAATTGAACACCCTTCAGATAACAAGTTGATCACGTCACTCAAGTCCCCACCTTAATATTCAACTAGGCACTGACTCAAGAAGAATTAAGCAGTTGGTGTATCTTAAGAAAATGCACTACAATAGTGCCAAAATGTAACCAAGGTGGCGTGATGTTAACACAGGTTATGTAGCTTGTCTTGCAATACTTGTTGCCGAGATTGAGCTTGACGGCCGCACATCTCCGATTTATGAACTAGAGTGATCAACATATTTGAAACAATATTTACTACATTTGACTAATTCTCTCATTCTGAACTTTGCGATTTACGTGTGTTGAACAGGCACGTAGTGAAGCATGATATCTCAGTAGCCTAGAGCTTTTTAGAATTCTTCACCTGGTCAGCTGCACACATTGATTTGTCTATCATTAATATGTAATCCCTCAACGAGTATGTATTCCTCAGTCACAGCAGTGTAAAATTAAATTTACGAATGACAAGCAGATTACTCGTGTTACACACAAAACATCTCTTGTCAACATAAGGTTCAATGAAGTCTGTAGTCAGCACAAAAAATTGTCGGATTTTTGCGTCGTTCGAGTCGAAGATGTAACTAATCTGTGATGAATCAGCCTGTACAAATGTGCGATTCAGCCATTGATTTATAACGACTGTTTTGCGATATTGTAAGGGATTTGAAAGAAACAAACATGCACTGACATGAAACAAGATAAACTCACCGAAAGTGAGATCAGTACGTCATTGAGTGGGAAAGTCACTCTAACTTTCTCATTAATGGAAAGCACTAACAAGAAGGTTGCACCGAGTACACTGAAAAAGCAAAATAAAGAAATAGGAAGTTATAGAAAATCAACAACATTAGGCATCAACGTCTCAGAGAGAAATAAAAACGCTGTTGGCGAAAACTACCGTTCAGTCATCAAAGCCGTGCTGTTTCAATAGAAGCAAAATTTGTTCCACCTACTTCCAGTTGTAACTGTTTATGAAATAATGAAAAAACAACTTGTGATACTCCATTTAGCCGAAAATCAAACTCAAGTAACTGTTTGCTAGTTGAAAATAATTTTGCAGTCACCGTTGGGTGATTCCATTCGACCGTAGCTCTCATTTTCCATCCACCACTCACCGAAAAACATGTTTATACCCTATTACTGACGAAACATTCTTTAACAAGCTGACAGGTCAACACTGATCAAACATTTCAGTCCAACTGTCTCAATCAACGGATAATACAAACTTAAATTGAACAAATAGTGATTGATAGCCATGACGCAAGAAGTGTCTATCATGTGTAAGCGATCGGCACTTGGTTCAAGGGTCAGAGGGAACACCAGTTATTACTGAGAATGAAGTTAAATCTAGCCTATCAGTTCCAAATAGAGAGAAATTCAAATCCCAGGTTCCACCGCCAGTCACCACTATTGAGAAGCTTATCACAATAATCTACATAAAACTATCTAAAAACTAATGTTTCACCATCATAAAGAAACATGTTATGATTTACATCAAATAACTCACGAAAAAACTAGTGGTATGTAAAAAGCGTCATACAAATATTGAAGTGCTTCACTAAAATCAACGGTTTGTAGTAAAACAATTACAGTAGAGACCTACATAGCTGCAACACAGGTCGTAGTGATCACCGTCACCAAAACCATTGAACACGTGAAAATTATGTACTTGATTTGATTACATGTCACACTGTAAATACACAAACACGCCTACCTTTTGAAGACAGCTTTGTGCAGCAGTTGTTTTCCCCAAAAATACCTAAGGAGAAACTTGCATAAAAATATCAATTCACATGGAAAGAAGCAGCAAAACCCGGTAACATGAATGGATCCATGTACAAGGCATCAATTAAAACTATTTTTATGATCATTCAGTACTAACTATGTCAGGTGGTGGGGTAGCACAGTCTTGATTAGGCATAATCACTTCATTCTGCATAGTCTCCTGTGAAAAGTGTTTGTTTCAGGTTAAACTTTGAGTAATTAAAAAATACACTGATGTGCACATCAGTCAATTTTATTTAATTCAATTTTTCTACTAATAGACTTTGCACCTTCTCTCCAATAGATGAATGACTTGTTGAATTCGTGTTTGTAATCAGAAGTCATACAAAAGAAATTGCATTAACCAACAAACAAACTGATTAATTTTGGAGCACAAAGTATTAAATCGTTCACAGTGCCGAACTTCACGAGTTTGCCGAATAAATCCAGAGTGATAAAGTACACAAAGGCAAAACCATAAATTTTATTTTACACATCAGAAAACACAATAAAAACATTTCCACTTTTATTGTTATAAGTGCGTAACAAAGTCCCTTAATCCATTCAACAAAATGGAACACAACATAAAATCTATCAGACAAAGGTGATTTGTGAAATATTATTTTTATTTCTCGGAACATAAACATTTGATCATAGTGAATAATAAAATGACAGTTGCGATGAATAAAATTTTCTTTTAAACTAAATCATCAACTAGACTGTACATTCGTGTATTTATTATAAACGTGTGGGTTACTTCCAGAATAATTTCCAGTCAAGGGTTAATTTAATAAAATTACAATTAGGAATTAAAAAGCTATCATGAACAGGGAGGACGAATAATACTTAAGTGAAGTAGCATCATAATTACTTAGAAGATTGACGTGTTGTGCAATTATGGGTTAGAAATCGGGAAACAGAAAAACAGACAGGATGTTTGGATAAAAATATTAGTGGGATCATAGCTAATGTGACAATTAATTCTTTATGCAATCGGAGATTAAATATGTAGAAAGAATAAAACGACTATCCCATTCCTTTTCTTATTGAAACCTGCTGTTTGTTCATGCTACTTTTAAGTTTACTTGATTCTAATTTACAGTACCATATTTTCACATCCGATCTTCCTGTCTATTTTGTCGTTTTATTATTGCTACATATTTAATCTCCGATTGCATAAAGAATTAATTGTCACATTAGCTATGATCCCACTAATATTTTTATCCAAACATCCTGTCTGTTTTTCTGTTTCCCGATTTCTAACCCATAATTGCACAACACGTCAATCTTCTAAGTAATTATGATGCTACTTCACTTAAGTATTATTCGTCCTCCCTGTTCATGATAGCTTTTTAATTCCTAATTGTAATTTTATTAAATTAACCCTTGACTGGAAATTATTCTGGAAGTAACCCACACGTTTATAATAAATACACGAATGTACAGTCTAGTTGATGATTTAGTTTAAAAGAAAATTTTTTTCATCGCAACTGTCATTTTATTATTCACTATGATCAAATGTTTATGTTCCGTGAAATAAAATAATATTTCAAAAATCACCTTTGACTGATAGATTTTATGTTGTGTTCCATTTTGTTGAATGGATTAAGGGACTTTGTTACGCACTTATAACAATAAAAGTGGAAATGTTTTTATTGTGTTTTCTGATGTGTAAAATAAAATTTATGGTTTTGCCTTTGTGTACTTTATCACTCTGGATTTATTCGGCAAACTCGTGAAGTTCGGCACTGTGAACGATTTAATACTTTGTGCTCCAAAATTAATCAGTTTGTTTGTTGGTTAATGCAATTTCTTTTGTATGACTTCTGATTACAAACACGAATTCAACAAGTCATTCATCTATTGGAGAGAAGGTGCAAAGTCTATTAGTAGAAAAATTGAATTAAATAAAATTGACTGATGTGCACATCAGTGTATTTTTTAATTACTCAAAGTTTAACCTGAAACAAACACTTTTCACAGGAGACTATGCAGAATGAAGTGATTATGCCTAATCAAGACTGTGCTACCCCACCACCTGACATAGTTAGTACTGAATGATCATAAAAATAGTTTTAATTGATGCCTTGTACATGGATCCATTCATGTTACCGGGTTTTGCTGCTTCTTTCCATGTGAATTGATACTTTTATGCAAGTTTCTCCTTAGGTATTTTCGGGAAAAACAACTGCTGCACAAAGCTGTCTTCAAAAGGTAGGCGTGTTTGTGTATTTACAGTGTGACATGTAATCAAATCAAGTACATAATTTTTACGTGTTCAATGGTTTTGGTGACGGTGATCACTACGACCTGTGTTGCAGCTATGTAGGTCTCTACTGTAATTGTTTTAATACAAACCGTTGATTTTAGTGAAGCACTTCGATATTTGTACGACGCTTTTTACATACCACTAGTTTTTTCGTGAGTTATTTGATGTAAATCATAACATGTTTCTTTATGATGGTGAAACATTAGTTTTTAGATAGTTTTATGTAGATTATTGTGATAAGCTTCTTAATAGTGGTGACTGGCGGTGGAACCTGGGATTTGAATTTCTCTCTATTTGGAACTGATAGGCTAGATTTAACTTCATTCTCAGTAATAACTGGTGTTCCCTCTGACCCTTGAACCAAGTGCCGATCGCTTACACATGATAGACACTTCTTGCGTCATGGCTATCAATCACTATTTGTTCGATTTAAGTTTGTATTATCCGTTGATTGAGACAGTTGGACTGAAATGTTTGATCAGTGTTGACCTGTCAGCTTGTTAAAGAATGTTTCGTCAGTAATAGGGTATAAACATGTTTTTCGGTGAGTGGTGGATGGAAAATGAGAGCTACGGTCGAATGGAATCACCCAACGGTGACTGCAAAATTATTTTCAACTAGCAAACAGTTACTTGAGTTTAATTTTCGGCTAAATGGAGTATCACAAGTTGTTTTTTCATTATTTCATAAACAGTTACAACTGGAAGTAGGTGGAACAAATTTTGCTTCTATTGAAACAGCACGGCTTTGATGACTGAACGGTAGTTTTCGCCAACAGCGTTTTTATTTCTCTCTGAGACGTTGATGCCTAATGTTGTTGATTTTCTATAACTTCCTATTTCTTTATTTTGCTTTTTCAGTGTACTCGGTGCAACCTTCTTGTTAGTGCTTTCCATTAATGAGAAAGTTAGAGTGACTTTCCCACTCAATGACGTACTGATCTCACTTTCGGTGAGTTTATCTTGTTTCATGTCAGTGCATGTTTGTTTCTTTCAAATCCCTTACAATATCGCAAAACAGTCGTTATAAATCAATGGCTGAATCGCACATTTGTACAGGCTGATTCATCACAGATTAGTTACATCTTCGACTCGAACGACGCAAAAATCCGACAATTTTTTGTGCTGACTACAGACTTCATTGAACCTTATGTTGACAAGAGATGTTTTGTGTGTAACACGAGTAATCTGCTTGTCATTCGTAAATTTAATTTTACACTGCTGTGACTGAGGAATACATACTCGTTGAGGGATTACATATTAATGATAGACAAATCAATGTGTGCAGCTGACCAGGTGAAGAATTCTAAAAAGCTCTAGGCTACTGAGATATCATGCTTCACTACGTGCCTGTTCAACACACGTAAATCGCAAAGTTCAGAATGAGAGAATTAGTCAAATGTAGTAAATATTGTTTCAAATATGTTGATCACTCTAGTTCATAAATCGGAGATGTGCGGCCGTCAAGCTCAATCTCGGCAACAAGTATTGCAAGACAAGCTACATAACCTGTGTTAACATCACGCCACCTTGGTTACATTTTGGCACTATTGTAGTGCATTTTCTTAAGATACACCAACTGCTTAATTCTTCTTGAGTCAGTGCCTAGTTGAATATTAAGGTGGGGACTTGAGTGACGTGATCAACTTGTTATCTGAAGGGTGTTCAATTTGCTTCAGTTGTCATTCGAGAAAATTCGTGTACCGCCGATTCTGTCATAAAATCCCTCATAGTTTCCGGTAGATCCATCTAGTTTCCAAATGAACACTGATCACATTTTTATTAGTCTGTAAGAATACAACATACTCCATCATCTTTCTAGCCGAATAATAGATAAACTAATAACGACTACCACAATATCACGTTACCTATTTTTACACGTATTTCTTAAAGTTGATATGTCAAGATAAACGTACTTACGATTTCGTAACTCAATATAACCTATGCATGTTTTAGGTCTTATTATGGTCTATTGCATTGCCTGTTGTCACCAAATCCATGGGATTTTTTATTTTTGTGCCATGGGGAATAACAATCACTGTAGCTGTGATGACTCTGATAATCGGATACAAAACTGTGAAACGGAGTGCGAAAGTGAGCATCATATTATTGGGCGTCGCTGGTGGAATCACAGTGTTGGGTATCATTCTGTTAATTGCTTTAAGACTTACTAAGCGGGAAGTAAGTAGCTTGTTATTCGATGAAGAAGTAACTTGTCTAGTGATTGATCCATGTAGTTAAAATAATGCCGATAAACTACTGTTTCTTGTGTAACTGGTCGTTTATTGTGCAGGACAGTTTCGTAGAACATACATCAACAACGTCGAACACACCACTGCATTGTAGCAGAATTGTTTATCAGTCAAATTTCATTCAGTATTCAAACGACATATCAACTATGAGCGGAAGCTCCGATTTGCACAATGCATTTCTCCTATGCTTCTTATATCTTCATTTCGAGTTTCCCACATTGCTTCACAGTTTCGTTCATTTCTCCGGTTTGCAAATCGATCTGCGCCTGTACGATTCAAGATTCATGGAGAAGATATGAATTGACATATCACTTTCAAATTTTCACTTGCTAATGCCACATAATTTTTCCATATACATGAACTATACGGATGAAAAACACATAGGAAATCACTGCTTGCATCAACCATCTATTGCATTTCAGTAATTTGAATTCTGACCGATTTCAGCCACCTTGACGTGGTATTGAATCTTCCATATCTAAATGACACAGCAAGCTGCACTGTTTGTGATTAGTGTTGCTGCAGGTCGCGCCATGACACAAAAGTTGTTTCGATGGCGGTAAGACTAAGAAAGTTATCGTCACAGCGTAAATTGTGCACATTGTGTTGAAAGTCTGTAGGTTAAGTTGTAGTAATGGAGAGTCAGAATCTAATATCAGTATGGCGTCTCCTTCAGATGACCATGAGATCATCTCTACTCACTCTTCAGCCTGTAAAGTTTGAAGTCGAAGAGTTTGATCCTGGGTATTGGGCATCTGACTAATCCTGCGGCGGTCAGCAGCCAGTGGTACGACAGTCAAGTAATTTAAGCGTTTAGCTTATGTATTTCAGCAAGTGTTATCACATTTGTCAAGTCTGTGGTAAGGACTGAATTCTAAATATTATTGTCACAACGTCATCAAATCACTAACAGGCCAACTGCAGAGAGTACAGTCTAAGTGATATTGACTCATTGAAGGGGCTACTGACGATAGCCTGCGTGTCGATAACCACCAATCACTGCACATATTATGCAGTCAAGCACTTGATGACATGGAACACAGATAAAGAGTAGGAAATAAGAAACTAAAAGTACTCGTTTAATATTGAAGATAAATCATCGATGTATTATTGGTGCGTATTACTTTCTATCTCTTATTTGCAGCGAATTGCAGTTATTCTGTTTGGCATATTTTTGGCTATCGCTTTACTCATTGTAAGTCAGATGGTGAATTTTGAGAATATTCATGAGCTTACAATGTTATATATTTTATGTGTATGTATACATTTATACATATTATATGGCATCACTAATTATCCGTTGTTATTACACTGATATATCCTCAATTCACTGTTGAGAATTCACGTATGCATTGTGTTGCGTGTGTGTTGGTGTTGCTCGTTGATTTCTCTGTCTATTATGAAAACACTTTTCTCGACCTCACTTGATCATTTCATCTTGTATTATTTTGAATTTTGATTTCTTCTCACGCTTATTTAGTTGCGTCATTAATACATATTTGTCTTCCTTAATTTAACCCGTATCTAAACCAGTGTACTTAAGAAAAGGCGTAAACAGCGAAGAAAATTTTCTTTTCGACGATTCATTTTCATAATCTGTGCAATCGTAATTATATTAAACAAAGACTTCTGGCAAACTTTGTCCTCGAAAAATGAAAAACACAATTTTAAATGTGTAAGAAAGGATGACTGAATATAGGTTAGAAAAGAGGCAGATTTTGGCATGACGTAACAAGTGTGAGAAAATGGCTAATCAATAAGCTAGTGTGGAATGGACAGGAACTAGTGGAAAGGCGATAAAGTGTTTTAATATAAAATCTGTATGAAAAAATTATGTTATTATTAGACAGTAATAGAGTGGTAATAAAATATGGATGATGGGAATAATAATGATAATAGAATAATAGCAGTAATAACAATAATAATAGTGAACTAACATAATAAAAAGAAGCAGCAAAATTATAGTAAGCACTTTACTCTGGCCACGGTAGGGCGACAGAATGTATGTATTGCTTTTGAATGCAGATATATTGAAGAACTCTGTGTGAGACTATGAAGCATTGATGTGGAAGTACTTGATGTCCGGAGGTGACAAGTTGTTCGAGGATAGAGCTGCTGCTGTCATGTCATTTATGTATTACCAAGTTTTCCATGAATTACGCAATCTTATAATTTGAGTACCTCGAATTATTGCTGCTACTCATGCACTCCACTTTACATTTTATCTGAGAAACTTCGTCCAAATTGCTCATATGAATACAGCAATCTCCTATTGAAAGGTGATTTCACTTTCCAAACACCATATGTTGAAAATACGTTGATTTCCGAATCTTGCTTCAGTTTGAGAAAGTCATATGAATTAACTGAATAATCTCTGAACAGGAAGACCATCAGTCGAATCAATATATGTGCGTAAGTTGAGGACAGTGATTTTAACATTTTGAAGTTGACGACAGTCTTGTTGAAGCGATTATTCATATAACTTCCAATGTTTTTATATTTTGTTTCTCTGTAATAGGTGTTATATCTCACCGGACAAGGTATAAAGCGTTGCAACAAAGAAACTACGAGGACTCTCCTACCAAGTGGGTTAGCTCTGATTACTTGGGCAGAAATTGTTTACTTATTCGTATCCATAGCTGTGATGTTTATATAAGGCAAAATAACGGAACTTTATTCAATTGAAGAATGATTTCGTCCTACTTTGGAACAGCAAGTTGATCTATGTATGAAAATCATTCAACTCTTTTTCTCTCTTGTTGGCTCTGTTGTCAAAATGAATTTTATTTGAAATACATTTTGCAGTGTTGTATTTTATGTTTACTATTAACGGATGAATAGATTTTACTCATGTGTTGTATAGTGAGACACTACCTACTTCGTATCATAGTGTGAGAAAATTTTTTCTTGAGATGATGGAAGTGTTAAGAAATTCAAAATGTATTTGTTTCTTTTTACTAACTGTTACGATTGGTTAGTTCACATAGATTGTATGTTTTGAATGTTTATCAACTATTATCATAAAGAAGTTTATAATGAATATGCTGCCCACAACATTTGAGAATTTACCAATGACAATTTTGCACACATACAGATTCAGGTTTTCATTGATCTAACTCAACCAGAACAGTTCTCATTTGACTAAACATTGTGTGTATTCAGTTATGAATGTTTTGTCTGTTAATTCTTACAGGTGTACACAAAGTCTCTTCATCTTCTCTCAGACTGTGTTATTGTGAGTATCCTGCACTGTGTGACTGTAATCTTCCTTTCTTTTCAGTTGACTTTTCTGTCATGATGCTTAAGGAGAGATTTTCCTGCAGCACTTAAGCCCGCTTCCGCTCTTGTTGAAATCATGATAGTAATAGCCTCAGACTGATCGTGGTTTACATCTGACCGACATGCGTAGACTACTTACTCTTCAGTTAGGAACCTAGATAATTCACTCAAATTCAACCTTCTCATACACATTCCCAACATATCTATCTCCTCATATGTCTCTGAAACCTGTCTGGTACAACTAGCTGGGAATATGAAGCTAACATACTATTTTCAGTTGCTTACTTTAGCTTGCATCAAGAGAATGTTAATCAGTCGACCGGATTTTCAAAATAGTTAACCTTCTTCTACTATCTATCCTCAAACTTACAAGTCTTCCCCTATTCACTGAACGATTAGCTTATTTTTTCATTTTTCTGGAAATTTTCGTAGCGAAGAAATATCTGTATTGCTTAGTTTCATTGCTTCTTTTAGGTCAAGCTCAGAAACCTAAGTGTTGCCATCTGAAAAGTGTCAGTATCTGTTGTGAGTTTTCAGTATTCAAAATGATCATAATTACTCTGCTGTTAAAATTGAACGCGCTAGAGATGGTTGACTATGTTCACTATTCTCAGTGACTGAGTAGTATGTAGATATTTGTGATCTCATTCCATTCATGCATTTTAATAAAGTAATCTCACATGAAACATCCACTCGAGCAAATGCAAGGGCAAAACTAAGCGGTTCGGAAGAACTTGTAAGAAAGTGGTTATGCCATTGATATGCTACACTATAACAACCTCACAAAATATTTAGTATGCCTAATTCGCAGCGTAATCAGTATCATATTTGACTTTTAATTACTGATAATAAAACTTTAATCAAAATGACTCAGTTCATTGAAAATCTGAGCTACATATTCCAATAGAATAAAAGGTTATTAGAAGTCATTTGATGAATATTCCTAGACTACACATTCTGGGAGTCCAATCGCAGACGGTTGTGTGTGCGTTATAACGAAATTTATGACACCCAAAGTTTCCTCACATAGGCTAGACTTTGATTTAGTTAATATTACGTTGATTCCGTTAGACCTGTATATTATTGAAAATATAACCAATTTAGTGAAGAAATGTATTCTTCATCATTTAGAGCCTCGTCACTGGCTGCACGCTAGTGTATAGTTTGTTCGCATGAAAATTATTAATAACCGTTTATTCACTAGGCAAAAAACCAACACTCATTTCGAGAAATAAAGGCGAACTGCCCTGTTTAGCCTCTTCTATGTGTATTGGCCAGTTTGACTACTTGTCCGGAGCTAGTTACTTTGAGCGTACGACCAGGACTAGGTTTGAACAATCTTCACGTGGTTCAATACTAGCTCATTACATCGTTACTGGACATCAAGTCGACTCTGATGGGGATTTGGAAGTCACTGAGTTTATTTCACCTAAGCATTCAAATTGCTGTGCTACTAAGACTAGTACATACAACGGAGGCAATCCGAATTAATTCGATAAATCAGTCTGTGTGTGGTTGCAGATTCTTTTATTGCTGTGGAAAACTACACGATATGTATTAAGTTTCAAAAATTGATTTTTCGCCTCCTCTTGTAACAACCTTTTAACTCCGTTATTTATTATGATTACAACTCTGGCTAATTCTGTTAATTTATTGGTACCTTATCTGATTCCACTGAGTTAACCTCTTCTTTTTAGCCAACATTACTTCACAAATGTCTCTATTATATAATAAACTGTTGATAAACCCTACGAACTAACTGACCTAGAATTCCATATGTATATTCACCACACTCTCGCAGCTTAGATGTCTTGTTGGCAGAATTTAAGGGCCAGTTGTTTTGTTGAGTTTTCATTCGTTATTTTTACCGTCCGTACACATGAAATTGATCACTTTTATTGACTTAAATGATCACATTATTGGCGTATTTTTATGTAGAAACTATGTGTAGGCGATGCTAAGGAACTTACTGAAGAGGAATGTACTTCTTTGTTCAACTCATTGTCTTCCCTAAACGTTGAAATAGGAATTTATTTCAGGCCTGAGTTTAGTTTTGCGTCATGAATAGATAAACGCCGTCTCCTGATAATGCAATTCGAATTCATTCTGTTTGTGTTTTTAATGTAATCCTTTGCTAATACACATGCACGGTGACAGTGAAATGTACGTGGATTTTTACTGAAGGCATTTTTATCAGTGCTTAGCCTGGTTCACAGATGACTTGACATCAACCTATGGATATGCACTGCTACTATTGAGCATATATCCTACTAATTGTCGTGGAAGAAATACGTTCTCTACATAAGAGACTGAGAGATTTGTTGTTTCAGGACTTCAATAATCCGCATTTCAGTTTGATATTCCGTGTAACTGAAAGGCAAATATACCTGGATATGAGACAATCAGCAACTTGTGTCTGCTCAGATATAGGAATGAAGTTGTATCGACCACAAGCTAATCAGACTATCGAATTAAATCCCTCTAATGTAACCCTATTCGAAAATGACATGTTCGATATGGGCCTGAATGTAACATGGTGTAGTTCGTGTGACGATGAAGTGAGTGCCCATGTGCAATCGTGGAGCTACCTAGAGAGGACTGCAGAGGACAGGCCAAAATATAGACGCCTCGTTGAAGCCCTTCGTTCCACTCGGGACCTAGAGAATAATAAAGTCGAGTGTTATGAGATGAATGTTTTATTAATTAATGATGTCAGCATCCCCATATAGTCGTAAATTATACTCATGTCACATGTTACATCATTCTTTCGCGTACTCTATTAGCATGAGGCGGTCTCGTAATTTAGAAATTGAAACAATCAACACGAATCCTTAAATGAAGGTATATCGTTTCCTATTTGACTAGTTCCCATTACGCCACTCTTATTTCCAAAAATAATATCAATGGTCTTCCTATTTCCTTCAAGCAGTCCTTATTATATTCTGAACATACACTTCCATTAACCTCAAATGATTCAAGACTGTAGTACACTTTTTTCGATAATTTGTCAACTTAAAGTGTACGTAATAAAAACTGACAGTACATTCTTGCTTAAATCTGTTAATATGAACAATAAATTGCAATTATCCCAACATATTTCAGAAACGTATCGGTGCACAGGCGGCTGCATTCGGAACACTGTTGTGTGTCTGTTAGGATTAATCTCTTTTGAATTTGTGCGAACTCATACTTCCAATGATTTCATCTTTCTCTTCGATAAATCGGTGATATCGAACTTTCCGCATCCTCAACTGTACAACTAAAAATATTATTAAAAATATTTCGTATTCGTTACATACTGAATTTAACTGAATAACTTATATGATTCAGTGTCCATAAGACAGTGGCTTAAATAAATGATACAAAAGTAATTGGATCTCTCATCAATTCCGTTCCCATGTTGTTCTGTTTCTTATGGGTAGCAATGATTTTCACTGCTGTCCATCTAAACCGTGTGCAATCTGCGTTTTTGTGAAGAATTCATTAGACTTGAGGTACAAGCACAGAATGAATATGTATTCTTTGAATGCTTAATTCAACTCTGAAACTATTCTACAAAATTATAGGCCTGCGAAATTCATTACTCAGCTTTAGATGCCAACCTACTCTGTAAAAGTTGAATTTTAAGTTGATGGTACACTTCTAGTGAATCACATCATTCCAGAACGCTGTTGTTTCACTTTACGATGTTTGATCGACCAAGTAGAGGTCACTATCATGCCTTCCTTATCTTGATATATGTTGCTTATTTCAGGCAGTCCAATTATTGTTCCGATCCAGCTTTATAGTGTTTCTGCTTCCACTTATGATGATATATACCTGCGTTAATACAACTGCATTTCATATGTGATTGCCTTTAACTTCCATCCCCTAAAATAACGTGCCTGTAAAGAATTGATATCATTTTTACTTTTGTCAGCCTCATTGGAGTAGTTTCGAATATTTCAAAAAGATTTACACGGATTTTTATGGTGTTTTGTCTATAGGATAATACGATGGTGAATATAAATTGTGCAATTAGTCATATTAGTATTAATGATAATATTAATAATAATAATAATAATGAAAATGGTCTTATCAATTAATAAGGATGAGAAAGTGAGGCAATCTGTTATAACAGGAATAATAAAAAGCAGCATGATTAAACTAACAACTGTTCAGGTGGAAGTAGTCGATAAAGGCTTGTAAAAACAAATGAGCCGATTAAGTAATGTTAGATTGTAAGGGGAGGAAATGAAACACGTTTATAATGAAGATAAGATTAAGGGATGATAAGAAAAGGGGTTGAAAATATAAACAAAGGGTGGTGCAGAAGTGATTAGTTGGTTATGTCTTAATAGGCTAAGGGAGGGATAATGGCTGTACGAACGTTTTTTGAATGCATAGTTTTGGTTTAATAGTTCGA